GCAAGCTGCTGCACCTGTCCCTGCTCTTGGGGGCCCACACACACAGGCCGTTGGGAGCCTCCAGTCCCGTCTGGTAGCAGGACGCCTAGGGCACTAAGTGCTACCTGCCCCTGGTTCTGTCTCCCAGCAGAGATGAAACGATGTGAACCTTGTGTGAGGGTCTCAGTGCAGCAGGACCCCTTCATAAGGACTGGTCCCCCGGGTCTGGCCTTGGTCGCTGGCCCTGGGGGGAGGGGGGCAGCACTGAGCTGTCTCTTCTTCACTCCACAAGTGATGGGGCAAAGTGGCTCATCTTCCTCATCTCAGAGTAAGCATCCCCCTGAGAAGAGGTAGCTCTGCCAGCCGGGCCTGCTGGGGCTGGTAGAAAAGGGGGGCGGTTAACCTGTGTGCAGGTTAACCACACAGGAGTCTCCGTGAGCCAGTGACAGCTGGCCTCACCTGCGCCCTGCCGCGTATCATGGGACACCCCTCCAGACCTTCACGAGACGGGGACACCTGTAACTTCGCACATTCATGTCTGTTTCAGAAAGCACGGGTCCCTTTGGCTGGTGTTCAGGAGCTGCTTGAGGGCACCCTCACCTGGGGGCGGAGACCTCGAGGCCCCAGGCCCGCTGCCCAGGGGACCCTGGCCTTGCTCCCTGGCCACAGGGCTGCTGGAGGCAACCAAGTCTGCTGTAGTGGCCTCTTGGACACTGACTCGAGCTGTCCTGCCGGCCGCAGCCACCCGCCGGACTGGGCCTCCCCGGAGTCGTGTCTTAGGTTTCTTGGACGCATCACCAAAGGGAACTCCAGTTATCCTCGACTGTCGTTCACAAGCTTCCCAAGATTACGTAAGAGCAATCTTCATGTTTTCACGAGCTCTGTTGAACAAGGTAAATAAACGGTTTCTTTGCCGATTTTGCTGTCCTGGTATTTGGCTCTGCCAGTCATGGCAGGGGCAGAAACAAGTGGGCACGTTCCTGTGAGGCTGTAAGGGCCACGGTCACCCGGCCCGTCGTAAGCCTCCCATGGCGTGCTGACACCCCTGCCCCCGCCAGCCGGGGCCCTCAGCACTGACCGCGTGTCCTCAGGCTTCACCACCTCCAGATGAGGTGGTGGCCCTGGGAGGGATAGAGGGGCTGACTCCCTCCCCTGAGCAGTCTGAAGCAGAGCCGGTGTCACCTCGGGCCTCCCTGTGCCTGTGCGCAGGCTGGCCGTCTGCCCCAGGCTGTGTCTTGCTCTCTGAGAGTCCGGTCTCAGCAGCAGCTGAGTGGGCCCGTGTCCTCACACGGCGCCGACAGCAGCTGGGGCGGCCCTGGTCGCCAGCATGCCCCAAGGTTCATCAGCCAGTGACAGACACCCCAGCTCTGGCCTCCACCAGGAGAGAACCCACAGCTCAGAGTGGTGTCAGGGATGGCACTAGACTGCGGGTCCCCGTCTGGTGGGAACCTTTCCTCCCCCTCCTCCCTGAGCCCTCTTTGGCGCCCCACCCAGAAGGGATCAGGGCACCGCACACACACACCATTTCTTTACTCCTGCAGAGCAGAGGCCCAGCCCACAGTGCCCATCCACCCGTGTGTCGGAAGCCCGGCCGTTTCTAGGCCACAGGGAGCACGTTGGGTCTCACCAGCAGCCCAGTTAGCAGAGCTAATTTCAGCACAGCGTCTGGTCTCTCCGGAGCCGCTCTGGGTGTCTGCAAGGTGGCAGTCTGCTGGAGGACAAGCTGTCCCTGCTCCCCCCGTCCAGCATCCCAAGAAGCTGAGAATCCTGGCTCGTCGCAGAGAGCAGGCGTGCACCAGCGGGCCTGCCACACAGAGTGGTGGACTCCGTTATTCAGGGCTGCGGTCAGCACGAGGACCACGTCTGAGCCTGGGGAGTCCGCACAGCAGCAGACATGGCCGCCGCCCAGAGGCTGGAAAGAGCACAGAGCTGGAGACGTGCGGGCCCCCACGCCCCACGCAGCTCCCGCGTGCAGGCCTGGCTCCCGCCGTCGTGCAGACACACCCTGCTGCCCCGCTGCGCTCAGGTGCCCCTGCGTGTAGAGTGTTCAGGCAGCACCCACAAAGCAGGGCCCGGAGCAGACCCCAGGCCTTCTCGCACGGGGCCCTCCAGACGCTGTCAAGCCAAAGCTTGGCCCTGGGTACCCTGTTCTGTGCAGTCTGAAGAGAAGGCATGACGAGGTAGCAGGGTCGGGCTGGCCCAGGTCTCAGCCCAAACCTTGTTCCAGTCCCGAGGACCATGATGCCCTCCCCTGGGCTGCCCGCCTGCCCGTGTGAGCAGCCCCCTGGGCCACAGGGGTGTGCAGGGCGGAGTGAGACCGGCACGGCCGGCCATCTGCCCTGCGGAGGCCGTGACCCCGGCTTTAAGCCCCCCATGCCCCATAAATCCATAATAAAATTAATCCCTCGTTTTCCTGACGTGCCCCAGTTCCAGAAGGGCCTCCAGATGCATCACCGTGTTGCTGCGTGAGGGGCCAGGGAGGCCCAGATGACCCCCCTTTCAAAGAATCACATCAGGGAGGACTCAGGAGCCCGAGTGGGGCAGGGGGCACCCCATCCTGCCTCCTAGACGAGGACACAGTGACTAGTCACAGGCCGCCAGCCCAGAGGGGGCTGCCAGCACTCCCGCTGAAGGCCTAGTCCCGGCCTCTGCAGGGTGGAGGTTGGGGAGCGGGGCCCTTCCGGCCTTCCATGGCTGCCGTTGCTGCTTGGGGGCCCCCGCCCAGGAGGCAGCCCGGTGCCTGCGTCACCCAGTGGCCCCAAGGGCAGCACTCCCCCGAGAGCCGGGCAGCAGGGCCTGCCAGACACACCCGGGGCATCGGACTGAGCAGACCAGGATGTGGTCCGTCCTGGAGCGGTGGAAGGCAGAGTGAACGTCTCTTTGGGTCCCAGCATGGGCCGGATGGGGAGCAGGCAGAGAGGGGACGGGCCTGCAGGAAGGAAGGCCCCCTCCCTCCCCAGAGCCCCCAATGCTGCTCAGCCTGGCCTCAGGCACCCCTGAGGCAGACACACCCTCCAGAGGCAGCACATTCCCAGCGCACCCCGGGGCCGGCACAGAATAAGTCTGGCTATTCCCAGCCCAGGGTCAGCGGAAGCATGGACGTATGCTCAGCCCTCGGGGCAGCTACCCAGTCAGCCCACCGCCTGCCTGGAAATGGGGGACACAGGCTCCCACCTACAGGTGGCTCAGCTCCAGGGCAGGACCCTGTCAAGGGCCTCAAGGCCTGTCAGCAGACACTGCTGAGGCCCCTGGGGGTACGGTGTCCTGGCCCCATCCCTGTTACTCCCACCTGGCCTGCAACTCTAGCTTCTCAGGGCACGGACAGCTACAGTACAGTCTAACGGCTCTAAGTCTTTGGTGCCAGCCCTCCATGGGAGACCCCTGTCCATGGCCAGAGCGGACTCCACACAGCCATCCCTGCCTCTCCCACAGGCGGGGGCTGACCAGCGTGCTGGGTAAGGCCAAGTCCCCAGGGTAGACCCAGCCCAGAGGAGGAGGGCAGAGGGGAGGGGGTGGTGCCAGGGCCTGGCCCCAGGTGGCAGGAGTGGGCGGGGCACCTGCCTGGGCTCTGGCCGCCTGTGCGCCCGCTCACTCATTCACTTGGCCCTCGCTGTCACTCACCATCACTTGGTCCTTGTCAGCTGGCGCTCGCCGGCACCGTCCAAGGTAGGTCCCATGAGCGGGTCCCCGTGCAGAGCAGGAAACCGAGGCGGGCCTTGTGGGACTTGCCCGGGTCCCACCGGGCTGACCTGGACCATCCTAACCCCCAGACGCCCCCTGCCTGTTGGTCTTGGAGCCGAGGGCGGCAGTCCTGCGCGGCCCAGCAGGCCGGACCCCACCCGCGGGGAAGACCCCCTCGGTGTTCCGGCGGGCGGGGCGGGGCGGGGGCGGGGGCGGGGCGGCCGAAGGGGAGGGAAGCCGCGTCCTGCGCCGTGCGCGCCGCCCGCAGTGCCCGCCGAGCGCCGTGGCCGGGGGCGTCGCGGGGCGCGCGGGACGGGCGGCCGGCTCCGGCGGCGCTGCGCGCAGGTAGGGCAGGCAGGGCAGGCAGGGCAGGCGGTGGGGGCTGCGGGCGAGGCGGCCGCCCCCGCCCCCGCCACGGAGAGCCCACCACCACGTGGCTGTCCCTGCCAGGGTTGGGGATGCTGGACTGGGGGTTTCTGGGAGGGGAGCAACCGCATGCCCCCCATTGACTGCCCCCCCCAAAAGGCAGGTTACGCTCTCCTGCGGCTCTGACCCTTCCAGGACTCCTAGTGTGGCTGCTCTGTCCCCAACTTGCAGGGCCGAACCCCCTGCCAAGATGGAGATTTTCCAGCGTGGAGCCCCCTCCACAGGCTGGTGCAGACAGGGTCAAACTCCTGTCACCCCCTGCCCACCCTCCCAAGGTCCAGAAATGCCGTCCCCTGGCTCTCAGTCTCCCGTGATGGGAGCAGGGCCTGAGGGCCGGTGGGGGACTCCCTGGGCCGCTGGAATGGGCTTTAGTGGGGGAGGCAGGAGGCAGCCTGCTCTGCCAGGCTGGTGCACAGGCAGAAACTGGGCCAGGCGGTTTGCTAGCGCGGGGGGCAAACACGGGGCAGCAGAAGGCTGTAGGCACTCCCAAGTCCCAGACCAGCTGTGCAGCCGGTGACCCCATAACCCTGAGCACCTACTCTGCCCCCAAACTCCTTGGCTAGAGATGCAAATTGCAGCCAAATCCTCCAGGCCCCATGATTAATTTCCCTTGGGTAGGCTTCCCCATGCAAAGCAGAGGGACAGCCCACCGCCCAGGGAGGCCAGGCGCGGCCCCACCCCTCACCTGATGGTCTGGGGTGCCCCTGTGCAACAGGGAGTGGGAAGTGGGCCTTGCAGTTGGAGGGTGGGCTTCTGGGAACCCTGTGCCGTGTGCCTGGTCCTGCTCTTGCCGAAACACTGCCCCTTTGCTCTCCAAGAAACCAGGCCGTGGACAAGCTGACGGGGGTGGGAAGGGAGGACGCAGTGCCAAGCAAAAACTTTCCTCCGCAGTTAATTAACCCCATGGGGGAGGGGCAGGCACACGGGGCCTCATCAGTGGGGTCTCAGCTCCAGGCCCAGCACCCTGTGGACCATGTGGGTGCCTCTGGGGCCCCCAGGACAGGGGTGGTACAGCCCCTGGGGGCCTCCCCAGCAGCAGACTGGGCATCGGTCTGGTGGGGAGGGAGCTGCTGGGGGTGACTGCAGGCTGGCAGCCCCCTGGCTGTCTCTCCCTCCTGGGCTCTCCAGCCCCAGGCTGGCCACTTCCGAAGCCCCCGACGCCATGGAGGAGTGGGATGTGCCCCAGATGAAGAAGGAGGTGGAGAGTCTCAAGTACCAGCTGGCCTTTAAGAGGGAGATGTCGTCCAAGACCATCCCTGAGTAAGTCCCCGGGAACCCCCAGCCCAGGCCGGCTCCGATCTGCATGTCATTTCCCTGCCCTGCGCTCGTTTGCATGAGCCAGAACCACGGCCCCGCACCAAGCCACTGGGCAGCACTTCTAAGGAGCCTGGCACCCACCTGCTCAGCCTCACCCTCCCCACCTTGCCCATCCACAGGCTCCTCAAGTGGATCGAGGACGGGATCCCCAAGGACCCGTTCCTGAACCCCGACCTCATGAAGAACAACCCATGGGTGGAAAAGGGCAAGTGTGCCATCCTGTGAGGCCCCCGCCCCGCCCGCAGGCTCTTGCTCGTAGGGAGAACGACTCTATAAAGGTGTGACTTTTATAAGGACTTTCTAAGAGCGTCCGTGCTTTCGTACATTTCCTAACGGAGAAAACGCAACCCGACAGCATGAAGCGTGGTCCCTGGGGTGTCCAGCACGGGTGGAGGTACCCGGCCTGGGTTCCTGGCGGCAGGGGCAGCCCCCGCTACAGCAGATCCCTGATGTGGACACTGCGCCGCACGGCGTTGGAGACACCCTCCTTGAATCGAAACCAGACATCACTCCTGCCCACCGCCGTGCCTATGCGCCGCTCTGCCGCGTCTGCCTCCGGGGCCGCGTCTCCTGTGAAGGCCGCATGGTTGCTCCCCTGCCTCCCCCACCTGCCCCCGCCCCTCCCGCCCCTCCCACGCCCCAAGCACCTGCACTCGGGGTTGCCGCTCTCTTGATGACCACACGACCAAAGAAGTCCCTCTCGGGCTGAAAGGGGCAGTCTGGTCAGGCTCTCAGGAAAGACCTGTGGCGGTCACTCCCTGCCCTGGGGAAGGAGCCAGTGGCCCCAGGCTGTGGAAGCAGAGGCCCACCTCCCCTCCCCAGGCCCCCTGAAGCAGACTCACCCAGCTCGTGTCCCTCGGGTCCCTCATCACCCACCCAGCAGCTCCCTCCTACCACAACCAGCAGAGCCCCCTCGTGCCCACAGGGGAAGCTGAGGCCACAGGGAACCCTCCAGGCTAACCAGCAGACAAGAAACAGGCCCCCCAGGGCCAAGAACCAGCGCCCCCCCCACCCCGTACCTTCTCCTCCAGGGCGGCTCTCTCCAGGATGCGCTCCAGCCGCCGCTGCAGCTGCTGCTCCTCACGGCCGCGTCCCCCTTTGTCCCCAGCAGCCCCCGGCAGAGCCTTGGCCTCTAGGGGAACCCCGTCTACCTGCAGACCAGAGGTGTGGTGAGGGCTGACCGGGCAGGGCCACTCGGGGGACGCTGTCCCTTCCGACGGCCCCACCCAGAGCCCAGGGCAGGCTTACCGGGGGGCTGTCCCCAACCCGGGCCAAGGCCTCCGCCCGCCGCATCTTCTCCATTTCGATCTCTCGGGCGATGAGCTGCTTGGCCTGGTAGGTGAGAGGTTTGCGGGCGGGCAGCTCAGGAAAGCGACACACCTCCTCCACGTTCCTGCTCTCGGGGTGGGTCAAGAGGCGTAGGCCATCAGCAGGGACAGGCAGGTGCTACCTACCACACCGGTCCCAGACGCCACAAAGCAGGAGCTGCAGTGTGGGATTCAGTCTTGGTAATACAATGCCTGTACCCCACAGCAGCAAGGGATGACCCACCCCAAGCCTGTTTCCCCAAGTGCTTGTGGGCATGAGAAGGGAACCTTCCCAGGGCTGCAGAATGAAGAAATGAGACCAGGGCCTAGGCTCAAGGCCGGGGCTGAGCAATGAGAACTGTCACCATTACCAACTCCTTGCAAGTGGCACAAAGAGGGATGGCAATGGTCCCCTTGTTGGGCAGCGGGGCCCCGGGGAATATCTCAGCCTGGGGCAGCAGAGCCCTGGGGAGCTCCAGGGCCCTCTGGAAGGAGTGCCTGAGGGACACTGAGGCAGGCAGACCCTCTGCAATAACACCCCGTAAGGGGGACACCCCGCCTCATAATCACACCTGTGCAAGCCCCAAGCTGGGACTGAGCTCCTGCCACTGCCCCACCAACGGGAAAGTGAGACTCACACCTGGCCGAGATTCCTGGCCCGCGTGCCACAGCACCCAGAGCCCAGCCTGCCCCCGGCAACCCCCAAGTGCCGCAGACTCACGGCTCTAGCCTGTAGACATATTGCCCATCGGGCAGGCGCTCCTGGCGGTAGGTTAGGCTGTAGGCAAGCATGGTGCCCACGAGGCTAGCCAGCTGCTGCTTCTCACGAGTGCTGTACAGCTGCGTGCTCACCTGTGGGCACAGACGCTGAGCATGGCCAAGGCCCGCCCCCCTTAGCCGCCACACCCCCACTCCGCACTCCGGACAAGGCACTCACAGGGCGCAACTTGGGTGCCAGGATGTCCAGAATCAGACAGAGGGCATCCAAGACAAGAGCCTGAGGCGCAGCTCGGCTGCGGGTGGCCGGTGTGATGCCCGCCACCAGCGTCTGGATGAGGTTCTGTGTCCGGCTCGTCCGGTTCTGGGCCTGGGGTGGAGAATGAAGCGGGTCTGGGTGATCTAGGATCTCTGGGCCAGACCCCAGGCCCAGGCAGGGTGTGGGAGACACACCTCCTGCTGGCTGCTGGGGAAAGCAATCCTCGGCACGTGGCTGGACGCAAAGAGCAGGTGGAAGGCCACCGGCAGGAAGGGCAGGTAGCGCAGCAGCTGGAAGCTCTGGCCGTGGTGCGCGGCGCGGCTCAGCAGGTCGTCGAAGGCCAGCCAGTCGAGGGCCGCGCACACGGTGCCCAGGCTGGAATCCCGCAGCCGCAGACGCAGGAAGTTCTCAAACAGACCCTGGGGGTAAGCGGGCGGGTGGACTGCTGAGCACCCCCAGCTGTGGCCCCCAGCCCACATACAGGCACCCTCCTCTGCCGGGACCCTGCACCTCCCACCTGCCCTGCCAAATCCAAGGTCTCTGGGACAGCAACTAGCACCAGCAAGTGGCCCTGAAGCCCCAAAGGAGGAGCCAGGAAGGCCCAGCCTGCCGCCCCCACTGTTCTGACCAGAGCCCCGAGAGCTGCAGGAAAAGAACCCCCGGCCCATGACTGCCTCAAGGAGCCCAGCCTCCGGGGCCCACCCCTCCCTGAAGGAAGCTCTGCGGCCAGGACGGAGGGCACAGATCCCCCGCTCTCCCTCCCCGTGAGACCCCCATGCTCTCGGGGCACAGATTCCGGATTTACTCAGATCCACAGCCGCTAATCCAAAGCTTACTCAGGCAGACAGCTTAGACCAGGCTTCCCGGGGGCGGGGGGTACCTCTGCCACCTGCTCCAGCCCCAACTTCACCCCGCCTGCCCTACCGCACGTGTCCGTTGCCACAGCTCACATCCAGAATGGGGACTCTCCCACCCCACTCACGTGTCCCAACCAGCAACTGAAGTGACCCCAGCAGTCAGATGACTGCCCCACCGCGCACCCAGCCCACCTCCCCTCCCTGTCAGCCCACGCCTGCCACCACCCACCCCCCGCCCCTGCCACCAACGAGTCCCTCCTCCCAGGCATCTGTCCCTGCTCGCCATCACCTCTGAGAGCTCCCTGAAGCCCTATGTCTGCCACCCCTCGCTCCCATCCCGTTTCTCCACGAGCATGACGGCATCTGAAGCATCGCCTGTCCTCTGGGGACAGAGACGCGGCCAGGTGCTAGCAAACTGGCAGGTCTGAGAGCGTTCGAGGCCAAGCGAGGTTACCTGGACCACCTTCTCGTGCTCGCCAGCAGAGGCAGCCACGTGCAGGATGTGGTAGAACCGCTGGGAAGCCGAGGTCAAAGGCGCCTCGGCAGCTCGGGCCCCCAGACCCAGGTGCCCATCACTGAGCAGGAGCCTGTGTGGGGGCAGGGCCGGGTCCTGGCCCCAGCGTTGCCTGCAGGGGGGGTCAAGGCTGGAATGGGGCCCCCCTACCTCGTCCCCCTCCGTGGTGCTGCGCTCCCCAAAGCGGCCCAGGCATCTGCACACAGATGATGCTCTGCGGGACCCAGGAGCACCCAGGGCCCATGCGGCACCCAGGGTGGCGGTGGAGGCAGGCCCTCCCGCTTACCTCTGCACCCGGGGCAGCTGGAACACCTCCTGCCACACGGAGAAGAGCCCCTTGCGTTGGTCCTTGAGGCCGACCCGCGTGGTCCACACAGCCTGCACACTCAGCTCCCGCCGGCCCCGCCCATGGAGGAACTGGTCACGGGGCAGAGCTGGTGAGAGGCAGCCCTCCCGGCCGCCCCCAAGCAGCCGCCCCCCACGCACACACCCACCTGCAGCGTGTTGACGCAGGCACGGATGTCGTTGTCCGTCTTCTCACACAGAGCGGCCAGCGCGCCGGGGTCGGCCCTCATGCCCTGCCGCAGGGAGATCTGCAGGGGGCGGGAGAGTGGGCGGCCGCACCCCAGAAACCCACCCCGAGGCCCCCACTTCCCCAGAACACAGAACGACCACCACATATCCCTGCTTCGAACCACCTGCCCCCAACACATCCTGGGGCCACCTAGGGGATGGGTCCCTGGATACAAGAGGGGATGGCAAGGGAGAAGAACACGGGGGCCAGGACAGGAGGCGCGTCCCCCCACCTCGTAGTCAGCCACGCGCCCCCCTAGTCACGTGCCCCCACCCCAACCGTCACCAACCTCCTGCAGCCGCTGCGCGAGCCTGGAGGACAGTATGGGCGGGAAGTGCAGCAGGAAGGCCTGCTGTCTCAGCTGCCGCAGGGCGGGCACGAACCTGCAGGGCACCGCCGCACGCAGCTCACTGCCTAGGCAGGGGCGTGGCGGGTGTGCCACAGCCCAGCAGGCAGAGGCAGCCGGGTGGGGCTGGGGGTACGCCCTCCCCGGGCTGCTGTCCTCCTGCCAGGGGCCCCCGACACCCCTCCCCACCCAAAGCCATGCCCCACTGCGCTCACTGGTCGTTGCAGATGCAGATGATAGGCCTCATCAGGAGCCCCCCCTCAGCCCGGCGCCGCCGCCCCCCACTCAGGGGGACCGGACCCCCGGACTCTGCGTCCTGCGGGCCCTTGCGGTCCAGGATGTTCAGGAGAATGTTGACGGCAGCCTAAGGGATGCAAAAAGGATGCAGTGAGCCCCAGCCCGTTGCCCACCCGCCTGTCCCCCCAACTGGGGCCCCCAGGAGGCCCACCACAGGGGCCCCGTCGATCTCGTCGATGACCAGGCAGTTGGGCTTCCCGCCGGCACCCAGCACCGACTCCATCTGCGTGGCTGCTTCAATGCACGTGCGGAAGGCTTCGGGGCTGCGGTCGTCACTGGAACCATGAGGCCGGGGCAAAGCCGTCAGGGTGGCACAGCCTTGGCCGAGACAGCGACCAAGGTCCCTGACCGGACAACCTCCCAAGGCGGAACCCCCACACCTACATCTCAAGGCGACCCCCCAACGAGCCCTGACGCAGCAAGAGCTCCTCTCTGTCGTCCCCGCCTCCAACCCACTGGGGCCTCAGGGCCACGTCACGACGGAGGCTGGCCTCCCTGCCCCTCACCTGGCGTTCATCTCCACCACGCAATACCCAGCATGCCGTGCAATCACGTGGGCCAGGGTGGTCTTGCCAAGCCCCGGGGGCCCACAGAGCAGCGCCACCTGAGGCCAAGACAACACACATGCCCACCTCCTACAACCTGTCACCACTCAAGGGACCCCCCACGCCCACCTCGACCTCGAGGCTGAAAACCCTGTCCCGAGAGGCCTGCTACAAAGGGATGCACGCCCAGCCCCGCTCTGGTGACCAAGAAAGGACCCCCGTATGCTGATGCCTCACACACGCCGCGTCAGAGCGAAAGTCGCACGTGAGACGAGGAACGAGGACGTGCGGCAAGAGGCACAGCCACTGCTGGCATGTCTGACCCCGAGAAACCCCCATCACCCTGAGCATCCTGGGAAGGGCCAGGATCCTCCAGAGAGCACACGCTCTAACCGAGCCATGAAAACAGACTCAGAGTCCGACTCCCGGCGCTGACGTTCCACGCCGACACACTGGTGTTCTCAACGCCCCAACCGCGGGAGCACCAAATGTGCCTCAGGACCCCACGAGGCTGCGAAGGCACCGGATGCCCCAAAGCACAGCCGTGAGGTGCGGGGGAGGGCCTCACCTTCTGCCGGGGCCGCCGGCTTGGGTCCAGCTCAGCCTCTAGCATGTCCTCCAGCACCTGCTCATGGCTCTTCCATTTGCTGGAGCTCGCAGCCTCTTTAGCACCCCGGGCCAGCTCCATGCCGGGCCTCGGCCTCCTGGCAGGCCTCTCTCGTCCGAACACCACCAGGTCCCACAGCTTTAACCACTTGAGGAGGCAGCGGTTAGTGAACTGCAGGAAGAGAGGCACGGCCTGAAGGAGCGGCCAGCACGGAGGACCCCCTGTGCCTGCCCTTCGGATCAACCTGCTGCCGTGAGCCCTGGAAACACCCAGGGAGACTGAAACTAAATGACAAGTGACCAATGAGCAACAGAGGGAGGCTCATACCAGACTCTCCAGCCCTACCACCCTGGCCCGTTCAGGGCCGCCCCCCACCACCTTCCCCAGGAGCATCCCCACATCGGCTTTTATGAGAGCAAGGAAGGAAACAGGAAACAGAAATTCCGGATGGCGGGGGCAGGGGGCAGGTATAGATCCCAACCCAGATCACGAGTGACACAGAGTGTGCCAGCCCCGTGAGGGCTCAGTGTCCCCATCTCCAACTCAAATGTGCAAACCAAAACCACCTCTTCTGGGGCGCCTGGGGGGCCCAGGCAATGAAGCGTCTGCCTTCAGCTCAGGTCATGATCTCAGAGCCCTGGGATCCAGCCCCGCGTCAGGCTCCCTGCTCAGCGGGGCGTCTGCTTCTCCTCTCTCCCTCTGCCCCTTCCCCCTCTCACACTCGCTCCCTCTCTCAAATAAACAAAACCTTTAAAAACCAAAAAGCATCTCTCCCATTGCTGACGACACGAGGTTTAGCTGAATCCTGCACCTTCCGTTTTTTCCAACAAAAAAGCCAGTCGCGCTTGAACAAGAATAGGATCTCACGTCGTCACTGAGCAGCTCCGTGTAGGACCGAGGAGCAAAGTTGTCCACCCAGAGGCAGTGCTGGGACTCGGCTTGGTTGCTGGCCAGCTCTTCCTCAGGAGCCGCCAAAGGCTGGACCTCCTCCGACCTGAGGCTGGAGAACATCGTGCCTTTGGAGGGACTGTGCGCCCCCGACAACAGGCGGGAGGTCAGGGCTGGACGGGCCCACCGTGTCACCTGTGAAGCGTGTCTGAGAGTCGACGGGCCTCCTCGAGCAGCTGCTGCCTCCGCTGTGCAAACACCAGAGGTTGGGATCTGAATGGCTCCGACATGCAGCCCCCCGGAACCACCCTTCTCTTCCCAGCAAGCCCCACCTCGTTGTCCACCTGCTCCTTCAGGGACGCGAAGGGCACGCCCAACAGATCCAGCTGGCCCTGGCCTCGCCGCCAGATATCAAGGAAAGGGGTCTGCAGGAAAGCAAAGGCAGTCTTCATCACCCTCCGGGACATAACCACCCCGGACCCCTGCCCCAGTGCTAGGGAGCCAGGTGGCGTTTGGCAGCACGCACAGACCAAGAACAGGACAAGCTCCCTCTCTAACCAAGACGCCAATGGAACAAGACGCCGGGATGGGCACGACTCTACGGAAGACACCCACACAAAAGCTGAAGGAGGTACGAGGCAGAGAGGGGGAGACAGGTCTGCTGAACTTCCGGAGGTGTCCCCAGGGTCCCGGCGGGGGTGTGAGGTCTAGGACTCTCCTGGGCAGCACGGAGTCCCCCACCTCTCTCGAGGCCACACAGCACCCACCTGCACCCCTGTGCCCACTGGATCAGCCTGCAGGACCAGAAAAGCCCGGCTACCCCCCGTGGAGGTCACACTGACATAGTCCTCCAGGACAGGGGGCCGCCTCAGGACAGGATTTCGGGCTGCCGGCGAGGCCTGCAGGAGACCCGCATCGACACCGGCGTCCACGGCCCTGGGAAGGGACAAGGGCTGTCTTGGGGCCTCTCACCTCCTGCTACCATGAGAGGAACCCAGATCCGCGCAACCACACATCCCTCCCACCCACCCTCCGAGGCAGGCCTCTGGAAACCCGCGCCCCAAGCCACACACCCCTTGCTCCGCGGTTCAGTGGGGACCTCGGGACTCGGTGGGGGGGTGATGTCCCCCGCAGGGGAGTCAGGAAGGGGCGGCTCCTCCATTTCCTCGGGCCTGAAGTTCAGCTTCTTGACGACTTCCAGCTTAAGCCGTTTGACCCTGGGGGCTGGGGAGGCAGACGGGAAGAATGGAGGCTCTTCCACAGCCTCACACCCCACCCCTGGGCCCCGGGCCCCGGAGGACATACTGGGGGGCAAGGCCCTGTCCCTCGCGACGCGGCCGGCCAGCTGCCGCTTCCTCGCACTGCCTCCGCGGTTCTCTGGCGGTCCCTCGGGAGAGCAGGGAATGGCGGCGCCCCCTCCAGCGGCGGCCTCCTCGAACGGCAGGCGGGACCGACCCAACGTGGGCCAAGGGTCCCTGGAGGGCGACAGGGCCGCTGTCCCTGCAGGAGACAAGCTTGACAGCAGCTGCGCCGGGTAGCCGCGTCCCCACTGCAGGCCAGGACTCCCGCGGCGGCGCCGTTCCAGCCTCGCGCCCCCCCGCTCCCCTCCCCTCCTCCAGGCAGCCCTCCCGGACTACGGGGAACGAGGCTGCGGCAGGGCCCGCGCCCACCTTCCAGCTCGGCCAGCACCTCCAGCTCGTCGGCGAACTGGCTGTGGAAGTCGTCCTGGGCACCGGCCAGCTCGAGCTCCGGGTCGCCCATGGCTCTCACTCCCGGCTGACCCGCCGCCAGCTCCGAACCTCCCGCGTCGCGGTCGCGCGCCGTGCCCGCCCCCTGCGTCCCGGCGCCGCCAATCCCTGGCCGGCGTGCCCGGCGGCGCTCGCCACTGGCCAACGGGGAGAGCGGGGCGGAGGCGGGGCTGCGCGCGCAGGCGGGGCGGAGCCGAGCCAGTGCGGCGGCCCCGGACGCTCGCCATTGGCCCACATGGCCGCCCGTCCGTGGTGTGGGCGGGGCGTGGGCGGGGCTGCGGGCCCCGGCAGGGCCCTGTGAGGCGCGGCTCCAGGGTCGCCCGGTCGCCGGGCGCGGGGACCGTGTGCTGGAACCAGGGACCGGCAGCGGCCTCGCGGGGCCGGGGCGGCGCGGCCGGGGTGCAGGTGGGTCTCGGAGTGGGAGGGGCCGCGGGAGGCCCTGGCGGGCGGCCTGTGGCCATCAGACGCGGGGGCAGGGGTTCGGGGAGGGGGTGGGGGGGTACCCTCACTCGGCTGACCTGGCCCGTCCGGGCCCTGGGGGCGCGGAAGGTCTTGCCCCTCCCCGCTGCGACGAAGGCTCCCCCGGCACGTTGGCGCGCTGTCCCGGGGGTCCGCGGCGGGGGCGCGGGCGCAGAACAGCTGGCCCGGCATCTGCGTCTGGGTGGGGCAGCGCCACAGTCCCCGCTCGGAGGCGGCCGTGCAGCGGGGTCTGGCGGTGCACGCGCAGCGGGGCCGTGTGCCCGGCCGGCCCCGAGTGAGCCGCTTCCCAGCCGCGACCCTGGGACCCTGAGGAGTCGGTGCTGGGCTCCCCGCGCGCCTCCACTGCACACGCTGGCCACGCGCCGCAGGCCGCCGCCATGGACGCGGGCCGCACGGAGAACCTGTCGGTGGTGTACCAGAGCCGGGACTTCCTGGTGGTGAACAAGCACTGGGACCTGCGCATCGACAGCCGGATGTGGCGCGAGACGCCCACCCTCCAGAAGCAGCTGCGCCACCACTTCCCCGAGCTCGCGGATCCTGACACCTGCTACGGGTTCAGGTACGCGGGGGCGGGCCCTGACGGCCCCCAGCCGCTGCTGCGTGAGGAAGCGGCCGCCCCCAGCCTAGCCAGCCTGACCCCCTGCCCCATGTCAGATTCTGCCACCAGCTGGACTTCTCCACCAGCGGGGCGCTCTGCGTGGCCCTGAACAAGGCGGCAGCCGGCCGCGCTTACAAGTGCTTCAAGGAGCGGCGCGTCACCAAGGCCTATCTGGCTCTGGTAAGGCCTGACCGGTCCCCCGGGGACAGGGATTCTGACCCTCAGCCTCTCCGGCAGGCCGTCAAGACTAGGTGGGCTCCGCAGAGGTGGTGGGTAGCCCTGAGAGCAGCTCGAGTCTCTGCCCAGCAGGTGCGGGGACACGTGCAGGAGAACCAGATGACCATCAGCTACGCCATCGGCAGGAACAGCACCGAGGGTCGTGCTCACACCATGTGCATTGAGGGCACTCAGGGTACGCAGGGCGGGGCTGGTCACCCAGTGGGGGCCCTGAGTGAGCCAGGCTGGGACAGGCTGGGGTGGGCTGGGGCGGGCTGGGATCTGCGCAGGTGCAGCCAGCCCTCACAGCTCGTCTTGCTTTCCACAGGCTGTGAGAACCCGAAACCGAGCCTGACAGAGCTGGAGGTCCTGGAGCACGGGCTGTATGCTGGCGCCCCTGTTTCCAAAGTGCTGTTGCGGCCCCTCACAGGTGTGTCCGGGGCCGAGGAAGGCGGGACGCTTTGAGGATGCTAATGGCAGGCCCCCCTCCCCGCTACGTGCGCCAGCGTCTCTTCCCGAAGGGGACTGCGGGAAAGCGGTGGCGCAGGGGCACAGCAGCCTGCCTGGGGCCACTCCGCCATTTCCATTCCCCTCTACCCGCCCCCACCCCGTCCTGGGGCTTGCTGTCCTAGAAGGCCGCAGGGGTTCTGTAGCGCGCCTGGCTTTGCCCTGACGGGCAGCCATCTGGAGGCTGACTCCTTTTCTGACTTCTGACGTTCTTATCCGTGATGGGAATCAGATTCTGCCGTTTCTAGGGGTTTTATGGGGCTTGAAGAGGGCAACGGGGGATAGTGTTAGGGGTGATGTGAGTGGGTGAGGGTCGGCACGGCATGGCACCCCCACCCTACCAATCCCCTTGCCCCGCCTCCCCCCCAGGCCGGACACACCAGCTGCGTGTGCACTGCAGTGCCCTCAGCCATCCCGTCGTGGGGGACCTGACCTACGGGCAGGCGTTGGACCAAGAAGACCAGCCCTTCCGCATGATGTTGCACGCCTTTTATCTGCGTATCCCCACGCACACGGAGCGCGTGGAGGCCTGCACACCGGACCCCTTCGTGCCGGCCCTCGATGCCTGCTGGAGCCCCCACACCCTGGTGCAGTCCCTGGACCAGCTCGTCCAGGTCCTGAGGACTGCTCCCGACCCTGGTCCCACGGAAGGGAGCCCTGCGCCCTGCAGCACTCCCACACCCCCCAGCAAGCCCCCCGAGACAGAGGCACAGCGGGCCTCCTGCCTGCAGTGGCTGTCGGAGTGGACTCTGGAGCCTGACAACTGAGAGCAGCAGGCTGGGTGGGAGTGGCAGGCCGGACCCACGAGGGGGATGGGGGCTGCCGGGGAGAGCCCTGGGCCCATCCTAGGTAGAGGCTGTCCCTGTGTGCGGCCCCTGTGGGTGGAGCCTGAGGCCTCTGCTGCAGCAACCAGACCTGGAGAGACAGGCAGGGCCAGCAGGGGGCGCCAGGCCGCCGGGAGTTCAGAGGTGGACCCTCCCTGAGCACCTGCCCGCCCCTGGGAGGGGAAACCAGGGCCTGCCTTCCCGGCTCCCAAGCTTTGCTCCTCTGGGTTTGTTTTATGGATCTGCCAGGGTCGCTGTCTCAGAGACAGAGCCCACGGTCGGGCCTCGCCTCCTCCTGACCCTGGGCCTCTGAGCACCCTGCTCCGCTGCACGCTCCTCAGACCTCCGGTGTCGGTCGGCCGCTCCCGGCTGGGTCCTCCCTACCTGCGGCCCCGACTCACCCGCCCAGCCAGTGCTGCCTCGTGCCTTTGCTCGTACCAGACTCTGCTTGCGGGCCCCGCCTCCCCACCCGCGCGGCACCCGGGGAAGGGTCTGGGCTGTGCCCCTCGGTCCTCTCCCAGGCCCTCAGGCTTCAGCTGGGAGCAGGGGTGGCCAGCACCCATCTTTTCCATCCCGAATGCCACGTCCGTGTCGGCCTGGTTGTAGCTGAGCTGCGGGGCCTCAGAATAAATACCCAGTGACTGACCTCGTGAGTGACCGTGAATCCATCCGATGGGGAGGTTTTGGGGGCCCCAGACCCTGGCTCTCTCTCCTGCACTGGGTGGGTATCTGCCCTAGGCCTCGCAGCAGGAGCCGGGATGGACCTTGTGGTCCTGGCTGGCGTGTCCGTCCCCTGCCGTGCAGTGAGCACGTGCAGCCTGTGCGGACGCTGGGCTCTGGGTGGAGGACGGAAGCTGGTCAGCCCCGTTCCCAGAGATCCCAGCCCTCTAACCCAAAAGCAGAGGAGCGCCCATCTTCTCACCAGGGTCCCTCCTTAGAGTTGTTGTCCCCACATCCCCTTAGGCTCCTCCACCATGAGAACACCAGCTACCCTGCAGGGTGGGCACTCCTGGCTGGGGGTGGCCCTGGGAGAAAGCAGAGGGAGGCGTGGCCAGCTGGGGACATGGGTCTGGATACCTTGGCCTGGTGGGACCCATAGGCTGGGCCTACAGAGCAAACCCCAGGGAAGTTGGAGGGCTGGACAGACTGGTGGCCCCCAAGGGAGGGAGGGAGGGAGGACAGGAAGGTGCATAGGGGTAGGTCCCTCCAGGGAATGTGTGTTGCCCCTCCCCCAGCCCTGTTGCTCCCCCTGAAATGCCTGCTTAGACCCTCGAGCCCCCCAGGACCCAGAGAGCCACCCGCAGGCCAGACCCAGCTCTTGCTTCCTGCAATTGGCTGTCTCCCAGTGCCCTGGGGCCCTCTAGGCTGAGACTGTGGAGCCCAGACAGACATGCGGCACACACAGGCCTGTCTGTCCCCCAAACACACCCTAGCTGTGAGTGGGCAAGGTTTGGAAGGTGTGGGAGCTGAGCAGGGTCTCCTGGACAAGGACAGCAAGGCGAGTTTCCTCAGGCAAGCATGGCCAGAGGAGACGGACGCTGCAGGTGGTAGCATGGGGCTGACCCGTGACAGGCAAGCTCTGGGGGGCAGGTGTGCTGGTGGGGCACCATCCAGGACCACATACAGCTCCACGTGGTGCGGCTGGACTTCCGTGGGGGCGGTCCAGGGCTGGGGGTCAGCGTGTCTGCCGGGTCAGCGTGTCTGCTGGGCCGTGGGCCACATGCAGCCCTACTTGGGGTGCTGGTGGCTAAACCAGGGTCCCGGGGCTCCAGGCTCGGTGCCTCCAGTTGTGCGCCTCCCAGGAGATGAGAGTCAGGACTCAGTGCCCTGCCCCTGGCCCTGCCCAGCCCCTGGCCCTGCCTGGCCTAGCCGGGCACCTCCCACAAGACGTCATAGCCCCCCCCCGCCCCCCACCGCTGGTGGAGCTGCCCTCATCCTGGGCCCCAGGGCATGTGCGGCACAGCTCTTTGCCGCTGCGGCCACATGCCTGGAGCCTGCACCCCTCTTAGTCCCTGGCAAACACCAGTAGGGACACGCATGCTCACAGAGCAGATACCGAGACATGCAGCACGGAACCCAGGTACCACACTGGATCCGCGTGTGACTGGCATCCCGCAGGGAACACGTGCATCAGGCATGCACATAGTTGGTGCTCCCAGATGCACACGCGTGTGCACGAAACCACCAGCACTCATGACAGATGCAGACACGAATGCGTACGAAGGCACATCCGATCCTCGGGGCACAGACCCATCCCTGGGGGGAAGGGGTGTGCACTGGGTGGCTGCCAACCGTGAGCTCAGCCTCCTGCTCCCCCAGGGCTGGAGAGCATGTGTCTGCTGGGCTCGGGGCCCCCAGGGGTGGGCACAACAGCCTCACCTGACACCTGGACCCTCCCCTGCAGGCGTCGCTGCAGGAGCAGGCGGCCAGGCAGGCAGGGTGTCAGTGAGCCATGGAGGTGAGCAGGAAGCCCGGTGCCCCCACCCTGCACGGACGCGGTGGCCTGGTACTCAGCCGCAGGGGCTGACACACTCAGTGGACTGGGGTCTTCAGGAGTACCTGGCACCTGGCCTACATCCCCACCCCCCCTCCATCGGATAGCCACTGCAGGGCACAGGAGAAGCCTCCCTCCACAGCAGATGGTCTCCATGCTCCGGTGAGAAGCGAGGGCTGGGGCAGGGCCACTGCCACCTGAACCCACAGGGCAGTCTCGGTGTGAACCTGGGTGGGGGGCTTCCATTCTGTCCCCTGCAGAGGACAGTAACTATCCTGGGCCATGCAGAGTCTAGAGCCCCTCGGGCATCCCGACACCACCTCACAGTTCAGGCCTCCAGCTGGAGACCATGCAGGGCCGCCTTCGGGGCTGTGGTGTGGGCTGTGGCCGGAGGCCAGGTCTGCCTGGGCGTCTGAGGCCCTGAGAGGGGAAGAGGACTTTCCAGGCCACCCAGGAATGGCGACAGGTTGGAGAGCCCCCAGGCCTCCACCCGCAGCTGCCTGCAGGGACTTACTGGGACCACTGCCCCTCCCCAGCAGCTGTCAAGAGATCTGTTTACTGGAGACACCAAAGCTACCGGTCCCAGGGGGCCCGAACTGTGATAAGAAAGGCCCCGCGTTTGGCCCGGCCCCTCCTCTTGCCACTCCCTTTAGTTCCAAAGAAGCATTGTTTGTGGGGTTTGTGCCCCTCCCCAAAGACAAGAGACGGGGCTGCAGGGAGCCCTTCCTCTATGACGCTGGACGGCACCTCCCTCTCTGTGCCCTGTGCCAGAGAGGGCAGGGGACGGTGATGGGTGGGCCTTACCTCCTGTCTCCTCTCCAGCTTGTCCTGTACTCACTGCCTGTGACCCCACACCTTTCTGCCAGGACGAGCAGTGCACACCGCACGGCCATGGGTCCCCGAGCAGGTGAGGCAGCCCTCACCAAGGGGCATCTCAGACCCTTGGGGGGTAGGTCCCACGGCCAGGCTCCCGGGAGGTATCAGGGCCATCTGTGATCCTAGGCCTCTCCTAGGACCCATGGAGCCCCGGGTCGACCCTTGAAGGACGCCCCCAGCAGGCAGCACCCAGCTATGCTGGGGGGCCCAGCCGCTGCTCACGGCCCATTTTGTTCCAGGTGGTCAGGTGAACCCAGGCCTCGCCCTCCTCGTGTGGCTCACAGCCCACTGCTCTTGTCCCCAGGCCCAGGGCTCCTCCCAGGGAGGGCTGGAGGCCAGCGGGGATGACCTGTGGGGCAGGTGAGTGCCAGGTCACGCTTCTGCGGCTGATCCTCTGGTGGCGGGGGGGGGGGGTCCACCCCCAACGGCCTGGGCACAGCTGAGGCAGGGCCCCCATCACTCACCGACCTCGCCCTGAGATGGCCCGGAGCTTCCAGAGTCCTGCATCAGACTTACCCACGTGGCCAGGAGTGGGTCCCCAGGCATCACGCTGGACAGGGCCCCCGAGCCCCTCACGGCTTGTGCTGCTCTCCAGCCCGGTGGGCGGTTACTTCTTATGCCGAGTCCTCTCCAGTTTCTTCCTCTGACCCAAGACTAGGTGGCTCTCCCAAGTCCCAGAGACTCAATCATTCCCAACCACTGTCCTGGGGCCTCGAGTGTGGGCTCAGCTGTGCTTTGCTTTCCTGGAGGGTTAGAGATCACTGATGAGGCATCGAGGGATGGATTGATCTGGGTACTGATGAAGCAGAGTCAGAGGCCCAGGCTGACGTCCCAGAGGATGCCCTCCCCACACACAGACTGTTAGATAGATGCACACCGAGAGTGGCACTGAGCCAGAGGCCAGGCCCGCTGCGGTGCCCCAGCTGGTACTCAGGCCCCATCTCCTCCATGCCCTTAGCCATCGCAGGGACAGTGGGGCCCGCCCGAGCTCAGAGCCTGCCAGGACCCCAGAGTCCAGGCCAAGGCCACATCCAAGCCCTGCTCACAGCTGGGAGCCTGGTGCCTGCTGGGTGAGCGCGGAATGAAGCTGTGGTCCTGCATGTGCCCGGGGGCCATGGGCCACGCTTCCCGTGTCTCACTCCCTCAGAGCTGGCGGTGCTGACCTCGATGCCGCCCCTCACCGCCTGTCCTCTTTCTGCCCAGTGCCAATACCTCCCTCCTGCATGGCTTCTGGTGCCAGCCGGCCAGCCAGCTGTCCCGGGACCAGCTTTCCACTCTCATCCAGGGGATGGCGACCCAGCAGGTCCCCCTCAGGGCCTGGCAGGTAAACGGCTGTGGCTGGTTGGGAGTGGGCCAGGGTGCTGAGGGAAAGGGCACACTTGCCGGAGACAGGACGGTAGGAAGGGCGTGCCCAGCAAAGGACATGGGTCAGCGGGGGCCCACGGGACTGGGATGGGGCACGAGACCCGGCCAGCCTCCCGGGCACCTGAGACATGGCTGCTGGGTAGACTCTGACATGGCAGGAAGTGTGGCCATCAGAGGTTGGTTTTTCCCTCCCTTGGGTGACTCTATGGTGCTGCCCACTTGGGACCATTTCCAGGACTTCTCAGCCCGTTACCTGCAGATCCCCTGACTTCTATTCTTGGCTCGGGCGAGGGCTTGTCCAGCAGGCCTGCGCTGGCCGCTTCCTGCCTCC